ACTGTTCTACATCTTGCTGAACAAGTTTCTACTCATCCACTGACTTTCAAGCAGCCTTCGCTATCACAAACTACTAGTTATGGACCAGGTTTTCTCATAGGTAGTAGAGACTAGCTGAACTACTGCACTCAGTTAACTCTTCAGCCTGTCTTACTCTGCACTGAGAAAAAATAGAGGCACTCACATAATCAGCTGCCACATTTCAGCAGAGAGCTGGCAATTTCTTAAGTTGCTTTAACTTTATTTGTGAGAACACACCAGCTTAAACTTACTGGCTCTGAGTGTCTTGAAGACAATTTCAAGATGCTGGTAGAAAAGAACCAGAAAACAGAATATTTCTACCTCAAATTCCCAATATATCAAGTGCAAATAAGGACCACTCCACAAGAGCACAGTGATAGGAGTGCATTAGCTAAGCACTATTCAGAATAAAAATAAACACATCTTTTTTTCTGTTTTTCTATTACCTGATTTTTTCAGAGCTCTTCAAGTGGAACTGACTGTTCCATAAACCCCTCTCTTCCAACTGAGGTTAAAAATGTCCAGACAGCTGGGAGAGGCGGTTTGCTGAATGCTCTTAAGTGGTTTATAATGACGGTTGGAACTTACCAGCTTGTATGGACAAGTAGTTATACAACTCGTGCAGCACCTTCATTATTATGTCCTTCTGTTTAGCTTGACAGAACTGCAAGTCAGAAACAGGTAACAAACATGAACAGACTGGCAGCAACAGGAGAGTGGTCAGACTCGCTAAAAATACCAAACCAAAATACCAGCAGCGGGGTTTGGCTCAGTCATGCACCACTACTTCAAATTAAGCACACCTGCAGCAAAGAGCTACAGTTTCTGAGCCACAAGCCAGCCAGCGCATCCTCTGAAAGTGCCACCAGCTCCCCCAGCCCAGGCAGCCCCACTAGACACCCCATCTGACCACCCATGGATGGATTTTTTTTTTCCCCTCCAGAACAGGAGACTAACCGTAACTCTGAATCCAATCCAAAATCTTCCTCTCTCCTAATAATAATTCTGACAAAAGAAACCGGGCTGTACACACACTTTATGACGGAGTTCAAGGAATTAGTGGGATTAAATCTTGCATTGTTAAGGCTGAACACAGCTTTATTGCAAACCAATATCACTTCTGTTACAACCATTAAAGAAATTGATTCACATAATTGGGAATTTAAATTTTTATCTTTCGAGTTCATATAAAGTCCTAATTTAATCCGGCTCATTAATTCCAACTCATCAAGTCACAATTTTTCTGTAAAACGACAGAACTAGTCATTTCACAGTGATACTGATATCGGTGGAAGTTACCTAGAATAATTACTCTTCTGTGAAAATCCCCTGTCCACAATACTTGAAGATAAATAAATATATGCTTACATCATCCGTGCTTTTCTCACAATCCACAGGCAAGAGATTAACTATGAGAGAGAAGGGGAGGGCGAGTTAGCTGGCTGCAAAACAAGAGCTTTGATCAAGAAAGTAATTATCTTTTTAAAAGAAGGTTCTACTTTAAAGCCTGATTTTGCTATTCTTAATCTCCCTCTACACAGTACCTCGCTATGCAAATAGCGCATTCAAAGGGCTGCTTTGGTAGGCAGCCTGAAAGCAAAACAAATAAAAAGGGGTGCAAATGATGAACCCTGTTCAGCTGGAAAGTAACAACTGGGCTGTGAATGTTTTAACAGCTCCTGTTTAAGTAGGTGTTTCATGCTCCTTCACTGCCCGCTGCTTTGCACTGATCTTTTACAATCCAGTAATGCCATTCGCTGCACGCCACGGTCACCTGAAATATCACGGTGGTAACAGGGATTTAAATCAAGCCTCCTCAAGGCAAAAGCAGAGGATTTATTTTAGTTGGAGCTGTTAGCCCTGCAGATTACAGCCGCTGGTTTAACAGCTTCCTCCCGCCCCGACAACTGGATATACACCAGCCGCCGTCCACCATGCAGCACTTTCTAGCAATCTTAACTACCTGAGGATTTAAAAAATTTGCAGCTGTGCTGCAAGATTTCGTGCTTCAAAATACCATCAAAACACCTAACAAAGTTGTACAGGGCGCATCAGAAATTCTGTGACATTGCAGAGTTTTATTCTTTGAGGAAGCAGGAAACAGCTTTCCCAGCCCATGCGAAGTGCACAAACACCTACAGGCACAGCGTGCCGAGTTTCTGGACTCACCACCTTCCCAACCACTCCCCAAACCTTTCAGTTCAAAGCCACAAAAAGACAACATTTCCATCTGCTGAGGAACTCTGCTTTAAAAACTGGGCGACAGGGAAGCCCCTTTTCATCGCTCATGGAAGCTCTGCCACACTTGAAGGGCCCAAGCACCAATTCAACTGCTGTACTTCCCACATGGCCAGGATAAAAGTCCACGAAGGGCCAAGCTTTGATGAGGCCAACATTAAAACACATCAAAACACACAATGGGGAATTACGCAGATGTTACGTTACACAAGGGACAATCATAAAATATGTCCTTGGCCTAGCAGGAACGTCACTCTCCATAAACCCCAGGGTTTTGAAGAACCGAAGGCCAAACTCTTTTGAAAAAAAGCAGACACTTGACTTACTCTCCATGACTAACAAGGTTTCCCATGGGCAAGTGGAGATAGAAATGGGGACAGAAGCAAAGATGTCAGGTTACGGCAATGAGAACGATAAATGCGATGGAAGTAACAAAGGGAAAGCAGAAAAGAAAGGTGAAGACTAAAGTTTAAAACTCAGATTAAACCAGTGCACGTACAGTTCTCCTCTCTCCTGTCAAGCCAGCCTGACCCAATCATCTTCACCACGAGGATGCCCAGAAAAATCATCAGCAGAACAAAGCTGGCGAGGCAAAGGAACTGGGAGAGGTAGTATTCCAGGCCTTTGCCTTTTCCTTCCGTCTGCTGCTTGGGGGCTGACCGCAACAAGTGAGTGCGGGCGGTTACTCCCTGCCCTGCTCCCGATGCTTCCCACCGGCTCCCCGAGGCCAGCCCCGCATCGCTCGTAGCCCTCCATGGGAACCGCCAGATCAAGCCCCCTCGCCGGCTGCTGGGGTTCAGCTCCCTGTCTGCCTCCTTCCGAACACTGGAAGCCAAGTCCTCCTTCCCTCTCCCAAACTGGTGACTCAATGCCCCAGGTCCCACCGAGCTGCCCCAGTGGGTGCTGGGTGTCACCTCGCTTTCCCGCCTCCATGAGCTGTTAGAGAAGAGCCCCTTCCTTTCCCCTGCTGTCTCCCACTGAGCTCGGGAGCTCTGCCCCCCAATTCCTCCTCCTGACGTGCCCCAACGACTCCTGGGCTTCAGACCCCCGCTCTCATTGCTGGAAAGGGGTTTGGAGCTGAGCCCCCCACTCCTGCCTGTGGAGGTACCCCAGGAGGACGCGGAGCTCAGCCCCCCAACCCCACCCACGGATGTCCCTGAGCCAGCCCTGATGCCAAGCCCCCCACTTCTCTCTGCAGATGTGCTCCACTGGGATGTGGGGTTTGACTCCCGAAACCCATCCAGGGATGCCCCCAGCCCACTGCTGAGCCCCCTGCTTCTCTCTGCAGATGTGTACCATTGAGATGTGGGGCTCAGCCCCCCAGATCTATCCAGGGATGGCTCTGACCCAGCGCCGAGCTCCTCACTTCTCTCTGTAAACGTGCTCCATTGGGACGTGGAGCTTGGCCCCTGAAACCCATCCAGGGACGCCCCCAGCCCAGTGCTGAGCCCCCTGCTTCTCTCCGCAGACGTGTACCACTGGGACGCGGAGCTCTGCCCCCCAGACCTATCCAGGTATGGCTTTGACCAAGCCCCAGGCCCCCCACTTTTCTCTGCAGATGCGTCCCACTGGGAGGGGGTGCTCAGCCCCCCAAGCCCATCCAGGGACGTCCCCAGTCCAGCCCCAAGGCCCCCACTTCTCTCTATAGACGTGTCCCACTGGGAGGGGGTGCTCAGCCCCCCAAGCCCACCCAGGGATGTCCCCAGCCCGGCCCCAGACCCCCCACCTCTCTCTACAGACGTCCCCCACTGTGCCGAGGGGCTCAGCCCCCCAAAGCTGTCCCGGGACAGGCCCACCTCAGCCCTGGAGCCGAGCCCTCCGCCCCGGCCCGGGGGGGACCCCCGCGAGTCCCCCCAGGA